TAAAATAGCCTTTGTTGTGCTTATCTACGTCTGTGTAATTTCTTACCTGTCCATTCTGAAGTAATTATAAGCATTAGCTTTCCTCTGTCTGTGGGCATTCTGTCATCATCTGAAGGGTGTTACTTTGCTTTTCATTCTCTCAATCCTTTTAATAACTTTGCAAGCGATTTAACTGTGCTTCTTTTCTGTTAGAGTTTGTTTCTTTGTTATTGCTCATTTTTACATAAAATTAGTTTTACTGAAATTTTAGAAGGTGGTGGGATTCAGAATAGATTTTATATCTTCAGACTTTCTTCTTTTTTAAAAAATGTTTTTGGGATCTGTTGAAAAAATATATGGCTCATTATTGCAATTTTCTAACTCCGTTACTCCACTTTTAACTGGATTTTCCCCTTCCCTTTCCCTTTTCTTATTCTGAACAAATTCCCCTCACTGTGGGATCTTGTCCTGAGAGAGATCTTTGGATGGTTATGTTTTGTGAGTCCAGGGGACACGAAATTCTCCAGTCTCATTAGAGCTTATTGCATATACTTTGCCCTCATCCCATATCTTTCTACATATTTGTATGCTCTGAGCTTGGCCTAATATGATGTCAATAGTTGATACAGAATAAATAACTGTAGAGTGAGCTAATGAATTCTTTGATACCATTAAATTTCAATTAATTAAAGAATTCTGATAAAATAATGGCAATAGGAATTAACAGTAGTGATTCAGGATGGTTTGGCCTACATAAAAAATATTTAAAATAAATTGCTCCCAAAGAACTGGTTATTTTTCTCATTATTGGACAACATATGACCTATTTATCTAATTCACTTAAACAGATTCACTACTGTGACAAATAGGGTAAAATGGCTTTTAGTTAGGACGAAGCTAACCTATGGCCAAAGTCCAATATCCCCTTAGAAATTCTTGGTGATTGAATTCATAGTTGTCTCAAATCCTAATGGAATATGTAAAACTTTGCTTTTCTTTCTGTTAATTTATAAATAATTACTATTATATTTATTCTATTGGTGCTAAACAAAATTCCTTTTCTAGAGGGATATAAATCTATTTAACATATGAGCTTGGTGGTTTCTGATGATTAAAAAGTGTTCATAACATGAAATATGCATATTGGAAGCATAACATTTTTTAACATTGTGAAATTTATAAGAAAACTTTTGACCTAGAACCAATAATGCACTAGTAGTTATAGAAAGATGAATACCCTAAGGAAATTTTAGATAAATAATTGTGTATATCATTAGCAAAAAGCTCCACTTAGTTTCTTCCAAGATGTGGCTCACATTGTCACCTCTTATTGGCACAAAAATGCAAGTTTATTGAGAGAAATCTGCCATATACTTCATGGAGAGTTGTGACAAATTAGTATTAAGTACAACAGAATATCTATATTTATCTCAGTATAAAATGTATACAGTAGTGGCAAAGTAATTCATAAATGGAGTTCACTGAGTAAAAAGAACAAACTATTTATTCGATATTACTTGCATTATTTC